ACTTTTTTATCATATTTCGGACGACATAGTAACCTATGACTTTTTTTTATCATATTTTGGACGACATACTAACCTATGACTTTTTTATCATATTTCGGACGACATACTAACCTATGACTTTTTTTTATCCATAATCTTATTAAAAAACAAGTTCTGAAGATTAGTACTCGAGTGCAGTAACGTGAATGAATCAAATGTACTCAACCCTAAACACAGTGTCCTGCGAGATTATCATTGTGTGTGTGTGTGTGGGAATGTGCGCATGATGACAATTATCTAATGAGCGACGCAGCATGAACTCACTCCCACTTTGTCTGAGCTGCTGATAAAAACAGAGCGTCAGTTTCCAGCTCTTCAGACAAACGGAGCTGCAGCTTTCAGAGCGACACCTGACGACTGGACGTCTTCAACACACAGACACACACACACTCACACACTCACACTCCGGAGGTAAGAGAGATTATTTATGTTATTCTAAACTTCAGCTTGTCTGAGACGCTTCTTTAAAAAAAAACGGATTATTCTCTGTTTCATGGCTTCACTTGTTTTTCACTTTGTTTCCTCCTCTGTCGTGGTGAATTCATATTTAAACGATCTGCAACAATCGATGTTTCTTTCAAATTAAAGATTTAAATCCTCTGAGATTTTATTGTTATGTGAGACAGTGAAGAGGATAAGTTGACTCACCAGTATGCTACTGTTGTGTGAAACCAGGAGAACAGGTTTGGCGACACGTGACCTGCCAAGAGAAAAAAAACTTGAAATTACATATTTTTACTTTGCAGTGAACTCTACACAGCGTTACTCTGCAGGAACAATAGAAGCTGAAATGTAAATAACTTCAGGAATGTAAATGTTGACGCCTTCGAGGCTCCAGAGAGAAACTTTGTTCAGTTACCATCCTTAAAAACTTGAAATGTTAAATTATGTAACTAGAAATATTATGTAAAAAATAAAACAGAATATAAATTGTCAAACATCAGTTTGTTGCAGCAAAATAATCAAACACAATAAAAGTTGATTAATTAATCGGCCAAACTTTAGTTCTCAGTTCTTCAGATTTTTTATCAGACACTTGAAAATCCTGTATATTCTATAAAAAGGATATAAACTAGATTCTGAGGTTGATATTACTTATTTTTTACACTCGGAAGTTTCACAAACTTTTCACAAATCAGAAGAAACTAAACTGTGAAACGACAAACTAGGAAAACTTCTCAGCGGAGAAAATAACTCTGCCGAGGCCGAACAGCCGTCAAAAACAACATTTAACATCGGGAGTTAGGACGTTTTCAACACTCGATCGCTCAGAGAGTAAAGTTAAGACAAACTCCTGGATCTGCATCAAACTGTCAATACGACGCAGCTTTTGTGAAATTATATAAAAAACAAACCAACACAGACAAAGCACTTCTTCCTTGGTGGAGATAACGACGCAGAAAAGATGTGTTTATGTTTCAAGTACAAAAAAAAACATTCTCTTCAAGTTCTGTATATCTGCTTGTACTCGTGTTTTCTTCTTATTTATAATAAGATAAGATAGTAACATGTAATTCGTCATAGTGGTTTGATAACGTCACAAAATCACAGACAAGTGTCATATCTATAAACTCTAATCTATAAACTCTAATATTATCGTCTTCAGCCCCAAACATTCACATCGTTCCAGCTCGAGGACGAAGCCGATAAAAAGCAATTTGTTTTTTTGGTTGTTATCAATTTGTCCTCGAAACATAAACCTGACTCCTTTTAACTGAATGTATTATTTGCAAACACACCAGGATCCGGTTTTATAAGGAGATAAAGAAAATTACTTTACCAACAGAAACCAACAAATATTTGAAGGAAGATAATGAAATGAATTTTCAAAGGTTTCAGCTACAGAGAAGATTTCCGGTGTCACGTTTAGTTCTTATTTGTTGTCACAGTTCATACAGTAGGGGGCACTGCTGCAGATTAGTTCCTTTAAACACAAACACATTTCTTCTTTGCTCCTGAAGGAAACATGTCTTCCCTCTACCTCCTCCTGCTGCTGCTCCCCCTGGTGGCAGCTCAGACATTTCACTGGGGTCCCTGTCCCACACCCAAAGTTCAGCCTGGCTTCAACGTCGAGAAGGTGACACAGATATCAACCATGTGTTTCAATACTCTACGTGTACAAACACACAACTGTACGTACATAAACACGCAGTAATACTAAGTAATATCTGAATCCACAGTATCTGGGGAGATGGTATGAGATCGAGAAACTTCCGGCCTCATTTGAACGAGGAAAGTGCATCGAGGCGAACTACTCTCTGAGGAAAGACGGAACCATCCGGGTGCTCAACTCTCAGTTCTAGTGAGTTCACACAGAAACTCCTCGTGCTGCTGAATCTGACTCAACGCTTCAGGTCAACATGTTCTTTGCTCTGTTTCTGAAAAGTTCCACATTTTTAACAGGTTCACTGAGAGATTTTAAAGATCCTGAGCTAATTAAACAAACGCCAAACGTTAAATGAAGGGGCGATCACTTGCACAGTCACATGACACATGTAGAAGAAGAAGAATGAAACCAGTCAAACGCTCAAATATAACGTGATAAATCTAAAGCTTGACTTCACTTTACACAGATTCATCATTTTTCAACTCTCCGTCATCAGGTCTCAAATCAAATGAAATCAAAGTTCTCCTTCCACCAGCTTCACACAAAGTCCAAAGAATCCACGACAGCAGGTTCGAGTTGTATGAATAATTATCAGGTATCGTGATACGACAAAGTGGACGATAATATCACGGTTCTACCTTTAGAAACGAAGCGTTAACGAGCCTGTACATCGACTGTGTATATGTATATAAGTACTTATACAATACATACATTTTTTTATCATATTTCGGACGACATAGTAACCTATGACTTTTTTAAGCGATTTTGGACGACATAGTAACCTATGATTTTTTTATCATATTATTTCGGACGACATA